TCTAGCCCCACTCCTGGGGAGCCCCCTGCCATGCCACGCTGTATCAGAGGTGGCATGGGGTGGCAGGCAGAGCCTGTCTGTGAGGGTATCAAATTTAAAAACCAGCTTCCCGTGCAGATCAGCTCCTGCCTGCCATCCTGCACTGCTGCCTCTGAATCAGAGGCAGCAGTGCAGGGTGGCAGCAGCCCCTGTCTGCGGGGTGCTCGGACTCCCTATGGACAGGGGCTGCCTCTGTGGAGCAGCCTCTGTCCACGGCAGGCCTAGGCTCTCCACAAATAGAAGCTGCTCTGTGGGATGCTGGAGCAGCATCTGTCCTTCAGGGGAGCTTGGACACCCTGTAGACGAGTTGCTGCCAGAGCAGCCTCTACGCGTGGTGAACCCTGGCCCACCACGGACAGAGGCTGCTTCACGGCACCCCTCCACTACCTTCCCAACCCTGCTCTGCTGCCTCTTTTAAGCTAGCTCTCCCCAGCTACCTCTCCTTTTCTCCCATCCCCCCAGCTGCCTCTGTAGGTGGCAGGGTAGGTGGGTCCACAGAGCTGGCTCCCTCCTGCCCCCTCACCCTCCACACTGCTGCCTCTCTATCAGAGGTAGCAGCGCAGGCCTGGGGGTGGAGTAGACAGATCCAGTGCTCATGGGGAACTGGTTCCCCACAGCCCCCGGCTCCCACTTCCCCTCCTTGCTGCCTCTGATACAGAGGCAGTAGGGGGATGAATGTAGTTGATAACATTAACCAATAAGCCCAGGCTCATCAGTTTATCAGATGGTCATCTACATGTTGACATCCCTAGTTGAGACTGCTGCTATCAGGAAAGACAGAGACTAAGATGTCACCCTGAGAGGACTGGGAACAGAACTCAGAGGGCAGGCTGCAAAGGAACCCTCGCAGCCAGAAGAATCTTTGTTCATTTGAGACTTTTGATATTTGACTTTATTGTGTGTGAAGTTTTATAATGAATGAGCCTCAAGCAGTGTATTATTGAGTTAAGAAGGCAGGAAGTGAAGCAATTGGCTTCCTGAGAGGAGAAACTGAGGTATGACTGACCTGAGGTGCCATGCCCAACTGAAAGGACACATACCAAGGTGACCCTCATAGAACCACAAAGTTAAGTACAAGGGAAATTTAATTTCCCCTCACACAAAAGAAAATATTTCCACTTCAATGCCTTTTTTTATGAGAGATGATTTAGATCAATGTTTCTCAACCTTTTTTATACAGTACTCCCTTTAAAAAAAATAAAAATGATAAGTACCCCCAGTACCTACAGTTTTCAGACACAGAAAATTTTTTTCTACCATTGCAACACATTTGTTTAAACAACTTAACTGTAGCCGGGTGGGCAATGAAATTTTTGGGTGTAAAAAGTACAAAAATAATAAAGTGCTGTAAAACTTAAAACAAAAATTCAGTTTTATCCAAATTTCAGTTGTGTTGACGTATGCCCCAGAGTTCTTTCGAGTACCTCTGAGGGTTCTCGTACCACTGGTGGAGAAACACTGATTTAGATTACCATGCAAACAGTTATGTGAGGATAAGACAGCACTAGTTTTTATCCCCGTGTGGTTAATGAAGCAAACACAAAAACCCTAACAACTCTGAAAATGGCTGGGTACCAAGCTTTATTTTACACGTTTTGTGATTTGTATCATCCACACTTTTCAAAAATCCACATCATTTACTTGGTCAGCAACCCATGATTGGCTATGTCTTCATAGCACAAAACAAAGTAAAAGAATAATCAGGTAAATGAGGAAAAAATAAAATGTTCTTTGAAAATTTTATTACACTAATTAAACATGATTTACATAATAAAAAAAAACCTTTTCCAATACTTTGTCATGAATTAAAGGTTTATCACAGAGTGAAATAAAACTAAGCAAAAGTACAATGTGTGAAAGTGCTAGAGCAAATCCCTCCTACCATCTCCTGTATTTCAAAGAGAAAATGAAAAGACAAAAATCTCAATTCACTTTTGTGTGTTACATTAAGAAACAATTATCAGGGCAGACTTTTGTCTCCTGAGCACTACAATTGCCTAGGGCAGAGCTGGGCAAAAAGCGGCCCGGGGGCGGGATCTGACCCACCTAACAGTTTCATCCGGCCTGTGGATGGCATCTGGCCACTTTCTATTTATATCCTGCTGCCTGTGCCACCGAATTTCCAGGCAGTGGCTCAAGGCAGCCAGTTCCCATTTAAATGGCTCCTCCAGAGCCATAAGCCCTTTAAATAGCTGCAGCAACCCTGGGCAGTTGCCAGACAATGCGATAGCAGTGGGGCCAGGAGCTGTGAGCTGCGTTTTTCTTTCAAAGCCAGACAGCTCTGGGAGGAGGCTAGTCCTTAGCCCCACCCCTTCTGCCCCAGACCCCGCCCCTTCCAGAGGTGGAGCCAACCCATGACTATGTATCAAATTTCATTAAGTGGCCTCCGTGCAAAAATTCACGGGCATATTGAGCACATTTATGACACTACTGGGATGAAAATGCAATAACCCAACATATCTGAGGAAAAGAAAGGAGAAATGTGCTTTAGAATATAATCAGCTAAAATTAAAACAATTCCAAATTGCTTAGGAACCCAGTATGTTCAGAGAAAGAAAGAATCTGATGAACTTCAAGATGCAAAGTGCCTTTCCAAGTAGATAAAGGAAAACTGAGAAACCTGTCTTCCCCCTACCCTGAAGCCACTTGTTACAGTGACAATGTTAATTATGGCAGATTAGGTTTGTGAGCTGTGGAACAGCATGTAAAGTGTTATTCATCTCTCTTGTGTTACAATCTCTACTCTTTGCAGTAGGTGTTGGCTCTGAGACACCTATAAAAGACATGATGAAGATAAAGTGAAATGAAAAGGAGGAGAGAAACGGGATCATGACTAATGCTTACATACCACTGAGATAAAAATAAATGCTGTGGCAGAGATAAATAGTAGATAGAAGCCAGGAAACAACAACAAAGTATTATACCTGTGGCCAGAGGCTTTTCTTTAATCTGACTGCTTAGGACGAGGCTGGGTTATAATCATGAGAATGCTCAGTATGTTATCAACTACTACAGCTGGTCTAAACCAAACCAAAGTCAACCCAGCTATCAATTTTCTGAGGAACAGCGTGTCTGGATCTGCTTAATCTGGAAATTTTTAAAAGTATGTCTAGTTGTAAAAACAAGAAACCCTTTGAAAATCTACTACTGTTTTAAAAAGAAGTGTAAACAAATTCCCAAAAATTAGATGCCTTTTAAAATCAATTTAATTTTGTTAAAAGTATTTTTTTTTTAAGTAAAAGACGATACTATATTTATTTCCACTGTTATTATTACTGTTATCCTGTTGCTCCCATAATACAAATATGCCAATCAAGATCAGGAGTCTCACTGTGGTAGGTTACAAAACCCACCTTCTCCAGATTTCAGAGAAATTATAAACTAATTCCAGAATGACTAGGAGTTTTAGACTGCTTCTGAATGATTCAGAATATTTCAGAATCTAGAATTTACACAGTTCCTGAATAATTCAGAATCTTACAGAGCTAAAGCTTTGGAAAGAAGGTTTCCTTTAAACTGGCGCGTAGCTATAACAAGTCAGCTTAATTAAGGAATGCAATATATTTTTCATACTAGAGAAATGAAGTACAATTTCAAGAAAAGAACACAACACTAGCCAAAGGCAAGGTTTCTCAGCCAACACAAACTGAACATCAAAGGGCGACTCTAGAAAACATGAATATTTAATTTTCCACTTCAACTGGAAAGGTGAAGTATATATTTAGCGAGGTAAGTACATATAAACATTTGACTGGATTTGTAAAACGCCATAATGCTGATATATTGTGATCCCCTACCTTCAAACAGTTTAATGGGGCATCTACCAAAGGGTTAACTATGACACCAACTGCTTCTTATGTCCTTCCGCCACAATCATGGTGGGCGTGTCTAGACTACAGGGTTTTTTCCAAAAAAAATGGCCTTTTTTCGAAAAAAAACTTGCCCTGTGTCTAGACTGCCACCACGTTCTTTCCAAATTAAATCGAAAGAATGCGGCAGTTGTGTCGACTGTGGTAAACCTCGTTTTACGAGGAATGCAAAGAGGGCTTTTTCGAAAGAGAGCATCCAGACTGCCTGGGTGCTCTGTTTCGAAAAAGCAGCTCACTTTTTCGAAAGAAGTGGTTGCAGTCTAGATGCTCTCTTTCAAAAGAGGCTTGTTCGAAATATTGTTTCGAAAAAGCCTCTTTCGAAAGAGGCTTGTAGTCTAGACGTAGCCAGTGAGATCTCCCATAGTGCAAGGTTCTTCCAGAAGTTGACAGACCAACAGATGGTCCATGGTCTGTGTTTCACAACAATCACATGTGTCTGGGTTGCTGAATAGCCTCACTTCCACATTAGGGATGTTACATTTTGATTAATCAGCTAATTGAGTAGTCGATGGCATTTCAGGAATTTCGTATCAGGGTAAAACCGCCTCAGGAAACAGCGATTCACCTTCTTAGGCCAAATCTACATTGGCACCTTATAGCACTGTAGTTTTCTAGCTCAGGAGTGTGAACCCCTTGCCTTTCTCCGCCTCCAAGTGCAGAAAGTTACAGCACTGTAAAGCATGAGTGTGAACCAGGCTACTCCCCTTGTGGAGGTGGTTTACATAGATCACTGGGAGATCTCTCTGCCAATACTTGAGCCCTGGCCATACTTTCAGTTTAAAGTGCTACAGCTGCTGTGCTTTCAACTTTTAAGTGTAGACAAAGCTGCAGGCCTTGTCTTCACCCCGTTGAAGATCGACGCTGTCATAATTTATCTTCTGGAATTTGATTTAACAAGTCTAGTTAAGACTCGCTAAATAAAACTCAGAGGGTGCCCCCATCAACGTTCGGTACTCCTGCTCTTGCAAGGAGTAAGGGAAGTCGATGGGAGTGTTTGCTGTGGAGACACTGCCAAGCTCAGCTTCAGGTAAGGTGACTCCAGCTACGTATTGTACGTAGATGGAGTTGCGTACCTTAAACCAACCGTCTGGGTCTAGTATAGACCTGGCTTCAGTGTTGAGAAGAGAACATACCCCTGAAGGCAAAAATCTACCTTTCAAGACTGCTTATATTCTCAGTACCAACCTCTATTGCATAATATGTACCAATATTTCACGTGTGGAATTCCCGCTGTCATCAGTGGAATGTGTAAAAGGAGTGTAAAACAGGCAATAAAGTTCTGAAAGTTGCTCAGAGAAGAATTTTGCTGCTGGTGTTTAGTTTGCATTTGACTGAGTAGGGAAATGTAAATGGGATACTACAAAGAATCCAGACTACCTATGTAGATTGTGTTATCTCTTAGCTTAACCAGGCAATTAAATAGGGTTAACGCTATCCTTTTGGAGTCGATACTTAGGCAAGTCAGATTTGAGATCCCTAGATGAAAAGCACTATAACTGAAATGCAAGATACGCACAACAGCTGAGCCATAGGTGAGCTGAGATAATACTATACTGACCAAAGTCAATAGCAGATGTCAATCTGAGCCTAAATGCTTGTAAAGTGTCTCTCTCAGAATTTACAAACCTAGTTCTTAGCAGCTTCAGGAGTACCTTAAGCATGAACCAATACAATATGGAAAAGTAGGAGGTTAAAGAGTTTGGGTGGAGCAACCTGCCTCAGGCGTTCGAATTCTAGACCTAGGGTCACATAAAGCCAACAGCATCCTGTGAGGAATAATGAATGAAATGGTACCAGCTTCAATGGTTACAGTCACCATCTACCCACTCATGGAATCAGAAGTGGTTGTCATGAGGTAAGTAAACACTGCGTTGTTTCTTTAACACAATAGAAATGATCTTTTGATTATTCAAAAGTCAATTAGTAAGAACTGCCTCCAAAGCCTCCTAGGAGAGGTTTCATAGCAAAGAGGTGCAAGTACACTTACCAGCAACACTACAATCAAGAGGAGATTTTTGCTTTAGCAAAATCTATATTTATATGATTACATTTCCTATGGTTGAGGGCAGCTGTAATTAATGGATTTCCCTCCTTCCCCTAATGCAGCCATTTGTCAATTTAAACACAGCACATCCAATCAATTTTGATGTATTTAGTAAGCAATTTGTCAAAAAGTGCTGCAGACCAGTTAATATATTAATTCTTGTCCTGGGCGTGCATCTGACAACTGCAGAACCTCTCCATAAAATGGTTCTTGATGAGCCTAAACTATTGCCCAGATTGTGAAGGTGCCCCTTTGCTGCGGGAGAAAGAGAGAAATTATACAAAACAATATATGAGACACTACTTTATGGCCCAAGTATCAGAGGGGTAGCCGTGGTAGTCTGGATCTGCAAAAGTGACAAGGAGTCCTGTGGCACCTTATAGACTAACAGATGTATTGGAGCATAAGCTTTCGTGGGCAAAGACCCACTTTGTCAGATGCATGTGACAATCATTTATGGCCCAAGTTTGCTGCAGTTTGAATATATTCATTTTAGTCTATTTTTGTTCTGATTTAGAGCAAATCTTGTTCATAGATGTGTTACACCCAGATGTGTCAAATGTCTGGAGGTATTTTTATCTTATCATTGCATAATAACAGGCAACTAGATTTAAAAAAAATCAGTTTCAGATTTTGTAAACTATACTGTGGCTTTATCAATTCAGTGGATACAATGACTTGGAGAAAAAAAGATTTCGGTTCCAGGTTTCACAAGGTTTACTGTGGACTTATGAGTCTAGTGGATACAATACTGTATTAAATACATTTTAAAGGATGAAATTGCTAGCCATTGGGGAAATTCTTCAGTTGCCTACATTAAAAGAACCCCAACAACAATCATTATGGTGTCTTATTTACACAGCACAGTCAAAAGATTAATTATACTTAGCACTGTACATGTTCAAAATGCTTCACAAACACTTCTCATCCCTTGTGAGGTGAGTACAGTAAATAGGACCCCGTTTTACAGAATAAGGACATAGAGGGAAAGCATTTAGCCCCAAGTCAGGCAGTAAGCCACGTGGCAGAACAGGGAGTAGAATTCTGGGTCTGAATGTCACCCCACTGAAGTCAACAGAACTTTTGCTATTGAAACCACCAAGCCAGGATTCTACCCCTGGCATTTTAGATTCCCAACCCTATCTCATGCCTCCTTATAAGAGTAAGATTTTCTCTGCAGCTACAAAAGCACATCAAGCTATCAGTTATCAGTAAATACGAATGTACTTGCCTAGCAGTAAGAGTATTTCAGATACCATCTACTTTCATATGCATCTGCCAAACAAAAAATGAAATTCCCCACAAAGTGATTCCTAGATCACAGATGTACAGCCCAGTGAAATGCCCTCTTACACTGCAGTCCCTTTCTCCCTCCTCGCGCACACCCAGCAGGTGTTCACGTTAACTAGAAATGCAATTTTAACATTGTGTGTTCTGAAGGAAATGGGGAGTTGCAGACCACTTCCAGGTTTGTTTTAATGGCATTTTCTCACCAAACAAGCACAATCAATGAACTATACAAAATCAAGATTCAAATCATTGTGTATCTTGACTACTGCTCTAGGACAGTGGCTCCCAACATGTAGTCTGGTACTGTGGGGGGGGGGTCTGCAAAAACTTTAAAATACATGGACAGAGCCTCTCATAGCTAACACACCCTTCAACCTGCTTTGCTTCCTGTGGCTTGAAAATGCAGGTTGAAGGACATGCTGGCTGCCGGCACGGAGCCTCTCAGCTAAGAGGCTCCGTGCTGGCTGCCAGCACGTCCCTCTGCCCATGTTGCTTCCCAAGCAGGCTCAGGGACGCGGCTCAGGAAGCATCACCGGCTGAATGCTGTGCAGGCTGCAGGCACAGCTAAATTGTTTGGGGCGTCTGTAAAATTTTAATAGCTTGAAAAGGGGTCCATATGCTCGAAAAGGCTGGGAGCCACTGCTCAAGGCTACCTATTCTATCTCAGTCTGAAACCTCCCCGTCTCATCAAACACTGCATAGTTTGAACAAGACTCTACTATCCCATGCTGTTTATATGTCTCTGTGGTCTTCAGCCCCCCCAGGTTTCTATGAGAGGTTTTCTAACTTTCACCTGCACATCCCTAAAACATTTTAAATGGAGGTGCGGATGCCCCTTTGGAAATCTTAGGAATAGTCCATGGACTCGCAGGGACCTGCAGGACACAGGTTGAAATCCCATGATCTATAATAACAATATTTGTTCACAGACTAACTTATACATACATTTGCAGAACCCCAGGAGTCTGTGGACCACAGGCTGAAACTCACTGGTTTCACTGCAGGCTCTGGAAAACTCTCATTTACACATTTTCTTATATGCTACCTATCAATAAAACAAAAATCTGGCCACTTTGACCCAGTCATCAACCTACAAATCACCATGCCCAAGATCATCTATAATGCTATTAAATTCACACATAAAATTACTCTTAATGTCTTTAGGTCAGGAATAAAAATGACCAGAAATTGATTTAGGCAGGATTTAGAGCTGAAGAAAATTCACACACTAAATAACACATAATAATGCCGGGGCTCTGATTATGAATATTGAGGCAGACTGCTGCTTAAAGATATATAAGGAGCTCAACATGTATGTTAGGACTTTTTTGTATGCATAAAGCACAGTAAAAGTACCTAGGACAATGAATGGATGCTTTCATATAAATAGGAATAAATGAATAGTGCAGAATCTCTCTCTTTTCTCCTGACAATTCATTATGACGGCAAAATTAGAAACTAGCCATTTACCTGTAGATTGCTTCAAAAATTATGTCCTTAAGTAACCAGCTGGCTGAAAAAAGAACAGGAATATTAGCACTGGTCAATGGTCCTACTTTTGTTAGGTTCCCCTATCAGAGGTGATCTAGACCAAAGAACCCAGGCAGTGCCCCCTGTAAGCTGAGCGCTTGGGCGGTTACCCAGAAGAGATTCAAACAACAGATGTTACAATTCAGTTAGGCTGTGTCCAGACTCAGGGGTTTTTTCGAAAAAAGTAGCCTTTTTTCGAAAAAACTTCACCTGCGTCTAGACTGCAGCCGCATTCTTTCGAAATTAAATCAAAAGAATGCGGCTTTTCTTTCGACGGTGGTAAACCTAATTCCACGAGGAAGAACGCCTTCTTTCGAAAGTGCTCTTTCGAAAGAAGGCGTTCTTGAAAGCAAACAGGCTTTTTAGAAAGAGAGCATCCAGACTCACTGGGTGCTTTCTTTCGAAAAAGCGGCTTGCTTTTTCGAAAGTTCCGCGTGCAGTCTAGATGCTGTCTTTCGAAAGAGGCTTGCAGTCTAGACATAGCCTAACATAGGTAACTCTGTAACTGCTGAAAATCAAAAAGGTTACACACCGTGGGCTCTGCAGGATAAAGCCCATATGAGGATAAAGCCCTCAGAAAAGCTTCTCTGGTAGCAGGGCCACCGCCCCTGCTGGCCTGGCTCCTGGGAAGGTGGCTTCCCTGCCACAGCAAAGCTGCCTCCCCAGGAGCCTGAGTGTAACTGACACCATTAATCAATATGCATCAGCTTACTGGTTAAACAATGACTCGGTCCTGAGATTGGTTTTGAAAGGGAAGGAATGGGAGGGTCACCACAGAATAAAGTGGGCAGAAGCACTCCCTTGACAGCATGGGGGTAGCAGCACTGTTGGAAGCAGCAACTGAGGGGAAAAAGGACTTTTGAATGCCTGATATTGAAGTCCTTAAAATCGTGATAGGTTTAACCCAGGGGTCTCAAACTAGTCCCAGTGGGAGTCGCAGGGGAAGCAGAGTGCAGTGGAGTGAGTGCGCCCGCCCAGTGCACTCCACTTTCCCCACGGTTCAGAGTACGGGGCACAGCTGCTTCTGGTGCATGACACCAAGCTCCCACAGTGATCCCCAAAGCTGTGTGCTCGGGGGGGGGGGGGGGGGGGGCGGTGACCTCACAGGGGCTTTGGGCAGCCCTCACAGGCCCTCACTGGCCTGCTCCGGCTGGGACTGGCCCACTTGCTGGGAGTTTGAGACCCCTGGTCTACACCCTGTCCAGGGTGAACCGTAACAAAATTACATCTAAAATGAAATCTGTTCTGGCAGAAGACTAAGGAGATTCTTGATCCTCTGACATTGCTATGTTGACCAAACGTGCAAGAAGCCTGAAGCAGTTATCAGCAAGACACTGATGTTTTCTATAGGTCAGCAGCTTATGCATTTAAAATGTAGGTCACTTAGGAGCCATGAACTTGTAGAGAGGTCCAGATCCCAACTCACCCGGTTTCCCAGTTTGACTCCAAGGCTGATGAAAGGAACACTATCAAAGAGCTCAGGTAGAAGAGTACCACAGAAGCAAGATCAAGGTTTTTGCAGCAGATGTCACAGATGACCTCAAAGCAATCAAACAGCTGTGCCAACGCACTTACAACTACCCTTGGGATAAAGGTCGTGGACACTTGTACAACAAAGTATGTCTTCGAACAATGGTTCCTTTTCACGGTGCATATCATTGTAGGGAACTGTGAAGATAACTTTAAAATCTTCTTAAAAATATAGCTACAAGCGGAACATAAATAACTAAATCCACTATTTTAAAATCGTTCTCTTGTGATACAGTAACCAAGATCTTACTGGCCTACTTTGAACTGTCCAAAGATTAAAGAATAAGATTTTGCTATTCTGCTTTGGCATCAAACTGTGTATTTACCAAAAGCTGCTAAGTATACCCTTCAACCAGACTACCAGACGTTTCATTATTCTATCCGCCTGCTGATAGAAGTACCCTCTGTTAGAAAAGCACACTGAGTATTTTTCAATGACCTGGGGGCAAAGGTCACTTATT